TTGAGGGGGAGTGTTAAAGTGAGCCGAATAGGGGTAGTTTAGTCATCTTATGTTTGTTAAGTGATTTGCTTATGTGGCAGTTTTATTAGAGACACTCTACCCCACACTTAAGTAAGGGCAGTTTAGTCTTTGTAAATGTCATTAGAATCTAAATGACTATTAAGGGGGTCGACTGAATGGAACAACAATCAGATTTCGACAGACCCTTCTTCTTCTTCTCTTCTTCCTCTTCTTCTTTCTTCTCTTCCTGGTTCGGGTTACTGTAGCAGCATTCGAAACAGTTTCAATCAGCTTGTTATAAGTAGTTGCATCTCTCTGACTCTCCCATTCAATGGTTTCCAAATGGTCAATTTCATGCCATAAAGATTTCAAGGTGGCAAAGTAAACGGAGACTGGCTTCTCCCCTTGCTTGAAATTATTTATTTCACACTTCAGTTCATAAACCCTAGCAACATTAAGGGGTTGGGAGTAGATCTATTTCATATTATCCCAGATTTCCTTAGCTGTTTTTGCCCATAAATAATTTCGGTTAATGTGGGGCTGCATTAAATTGCACAACCATGTCATCACCAAATAGTTCTCTTGAACCCATTTGGTATGTAATGTGTCTTCTTTGGCTGGTTTCTTTATATCCCCAGTCACATGGCCTAGTTTACCTCTACCTCCAATAGCCATCATGGCTGATTGTGCCCATTCCAAGTAATTTGTTCCATCGAACCTAACAGTTATAATCTGAAAAGAACTTTCAGTCATGCTTCCAGCCCCCAAAAATCCTTCCCCTTGAGTCTTTAATTCACTTCCAACCTTCTCCATTTTAAAGAAGATGTTAACAGTCACTACTTTGATCAAAAAAAGGCTTGAACTCCTTTTATGCAAAAGAAACTTCCTTTTATGCAAAAAAGACTGTTGAATCAGAAATCACTCACAGCTGAGAATCACCACCAAGAAACACTCCTCAATCAAGAAGTATTACCCAGAAAACAATTTCAGATAACTAATAACTTCCAAGAAACACTCCTCAGTCGACAAGAATCACCCAGGAACCAAAATCAGATTACTGTAGTTGCCCAAGAACCAACCACAGTTAGAATAATTCTGGGAGCAAGAACTGACCGTGGTGGGGTTTCAAAAAACTCAGAGAAAATAACAGAGATAACAGAAATCTGTCAAAAGTTTGATCGCCACCTTCAATCTTCAGCTTAAGCCCTAATCTTTGACTTACCTAACCTCTCTGATCCTTCCTAGTCACTGGGCACTCTCCAAAGGTCATGTAATCCCTTGGGCACAATTCAAGACTCCAGTGATCCTCCAAGAATCAGGTGATGATGCAAAGCTTCAGATTCAGTAAGTTCTCATGTTGCCGACTGGATTAGGCTCACATGAGAGCCCTAAACTGTCCTAGCTTTGGCTCTGATACCAACTTGAAAAGATTAGACCAGAAAATAGTTGTTTTCCGATTCAATTCAGTAGAAAAAGAATAGAGAAAGGTCATGAATAGAAGAAAGAGAAGAAGAAAAAAGAAGAAAGGGTTCAGCAAAATTAATTCTCTAGCCACCCACTAAATCTTATTCATATTGTGATCTATTACAATGACTATAGTTACCTTAATACCCTTAAAAATAAAAGAAAACAAACAAGGCCCAACCGACCCAACTACCCTAACTGAAAAATAAATAGATAAACAGCAAATATAAAGTGTGGGGTTCCAGCTATCTCTACAATCTTGATAGAGCACATCCATGCAACATGATTATCCATCTGACCTCAAATAGTTGGGGTTGAGGCTCAGTTGAGTATTATTATATCTAAAGTCTTGTTTGAGAATAAGTTGGTAATTTCTGTGCTCATTGAAAATTGAAAATTTGGATTTTCTACTAGGAGAGTTTTCTATCTATACAAAATTTCATTTAATTCTTGAGAAAGGACAAGAAGCAATTGCAAGTGGTTGGAGACATTGAAAACCATCATCCTTTGCTGCACCCATGATAATCTGGACAAGTCTCTGATCCAAAGATGCACATTCACACAGATTCATAGACACCATGAACAAGTTAAAGATTTGAAACCTTTCCGGTGTGTACTTTTTAATTCTTTTGTAATTTCCTTTCAGGATGAATATGATAGGGTTTTAAATGGTTCAGAAGAAGCATGTGAAGGTGATGATGACTTAATTGACCTTGAAGCACTGTTGGATGATGACACTTTCATGGCTACGGCATGTTGAGCAAACCTCTGCAATGTTCTTAGCTCATGTAAAATTCGGTCTGCTTCTGCTGTATAATAATTTGCTGGTCCCTCATGTTTATAATATATAATTGTGTAATCTGATGTGTCCATATGATACCAAATTAATCCACTTAATCATCTGTTTGTTGTAAATGGGGTTGGCAGTAAGCACCAAAGCAGGCTTTGTCTTCTGTTTGTATGCATCTTTGTGATTTATTTTGTCAAACCAGTAATCGGTTATTTTTGTTTCGCACATACTGTAATAGAGAAACGTGATCTTCACGACCTTTGTTCAGGTTGGTCGATGTATTTGCCTGCAGCAGCAATGATGATTCTATTTGTATATATGACAATGCAGCCACCAGCCGGCAATGGATCGGTTGGAGAATGCACAATCCACTCAACCAAGAAATGGATAGGGTTCGCTGGGTGGTTGGACCGTTTGGCCCAGAAACGAGTTAGGTTCTAGGTTCCGTTTAAGATCCAACCACCATTGATTTGGTCAAAAAATCCGTTAATCTAACGGTTAAACCATTGAACCACTCAACCCAGAGACAGCAGTCACAATTTGATTTGAAAATAATTTAAAACAAAAAAAAGGTCATTTATGTCCCAAATAATCGAATCGACCAATATATCAGTTAGGGTATCTTTTCTCCTTTTTTCATCCTCCGACTCTCTCTTACTCCATCATGCACCTCTTTCTCTCTTCTCTCCTATCGTTCCTCAAAAGTCGCAAACAGCAGCTGTTTTAGTGGCAACCTTCTTGGGTGCCAGCGAGGCAGCGAACAAAATGACCTGCAACCACACTTATCTTGAGCGGCAACGGGAATCAGGGGGCGATCTGAAGGTATTTCTCAACTTTTCCTTCTATTTCTCATATTTCCCATCCAACAAAAGTTAGGTATTATTAGCTAATCCCTTTTATACGCGGAACGTGTATAAATTATTCGTTCCATTTCTTTTCGTATTGTCCGATACTGATTCGAAACAGCCTAATACGGCAATTTTAAATTTCTCTTTCATTAATTAGTCAAGGCAAATTTAAATTTGAATTTTAGTGCCTAATTCAAATTCTCTCATTAATTTGGTATAAAATCTTCAAATTTTTGCTATAGTAAGATTTGAACCTTGGTTGCTTGATTTTAACAACCATAAGTTCGCCAATGAGCCACACATTCGTTTGCTAAGATTATATGTATTTTTAATTTTAAGTAAATTTTCACTTTTCTTAATAAGTGACAAGTTTTTATTAATAAATGCCAGAATTAATTATTAAAATTTATATACTAATAAATATTAAGATTAATTATATTGGTTTTTGAAAATTAACATTCACATTTTATTTTTATTTTTTGTTTTTTTTACATTTTAGTTATTCCATCATTTTTCAACGGTTACTAATTGTGTCTCGATGTCACACTTTATATAAACCATAAATTATGGCTTTTTACATTTAAATGACTTATTTACAATCATATAAAATATGTAAATATAGTTAGTAATATATTTTTAAGATTTATTTGATTTTTTACCATATTTATGCATATCTTGATTTTCCGTCCGTATCCATACGTATCCAAAGCATATTCTGATACATCTCTTAAAATTATCTTTTTGATACACCTTGCATTTCCAATACTTTAAACCTTAGATTCAACTGTTGACCTGGAAACCAAAGGCAAGAGTGGTTTCATTTCCGGTCAGTTCTTAAAACCACACCGTGTAACCTATAATTGTTGGACAATTTAGGCCATTATTGGATTTTTGGGGGAATATTGGGGATGGAGCCCAATTGTACGAGTTTCTCCAATGTTCTCAATGTACAGCTGTAGTGAGGCATGGGCAGGTATCATTAGAAGATCCAAACTGCTCAATTCCACCTTTTTGGATCCAATTTTCTAACCTAATTAGGAGTTTGCATGGGCACACCACAAAGCGTGCCCACATCCCAAGGGTGTATAGGGAACATCACCCCCCATGACAAGTTTGAGAGATGTTCAATGCACATTGAGATGTGCATGTAGGGCATGTATGGGGTGCACTCTATGGAGCGCCAATCTGGACTCCCTCCTAAATAGTGGATTTGCCTTGAGTTTTTTGAACTTAGGTTTTTTGCACTCACTTTGGTGTGAGGCGTTGTGCACTTCCAATTAGATTTAACCATGTCATACTCCTCATGGTCATCTATTTCCGATACGTATCATATTGGAGCCTTCCCAATATGCCCCTACAGGGGGTGTTTCGGGTTGGCAAGTGGTTTACGGGGTGATCAGATTCAAAAAAAAATAACAAAAAAATAATAAAAAAGAGTACCAATGCAGGCCAATACGCCCTACCGGCGTATCACCCTGTATCGATACTTTGAACCTTGGTCAAGAGGTGTAAAACATTTTGCAAGAAAAAGGGTTTTCTCTTTACTATTTCATATTCTTCTTCTCTGATTTGCAGACTTCTCTTTCTTCTTCAAATTTCAATCAAGAGTGAAAGATTTTCAATAACTCATTTGATTTCATCAGCGTTCTCTTCTTCTTCTCACTTGAGGATTATGCTATGCACAAAGTTAAGAAATAAACCAGAACAGATAGATGGAAACTACATCTAAACCATCCATGTGCTTATGTGAATTAGATTCGTCAGTGATTCCTTAAAGAAGTTAGATTTATAAAATTTCATGCATCTTTTTTCTGAGAATGAATAATGATTATGAGAAAAATGTTTCCTTGGTTCTATATTGTAAACATTGTAAATATATTTGAATGCCAAGAAATTTCATGAACATAAATTTAATTGAACTCTGCCCCTAATGAAGAACAATATAACCCTACAAACCGTTTGTTAATGGTGTATGCTCATGACTAAAGTTTTGTTTGGTAATAATGGTTCTGAGAATAATCTCTTCTATTTGTTTTATTATCTTCTTCTATCTATCGAATTGTATAGTCAATTTTTTTTCATTATTTTAAGTTTCATAAAACGAATTTTATAGACAAAATGTCTCAAACGTTCCATTTAATTTAATCCGCACATGTGAAACAGGGACCATGCGAAGGGTGACATGGTCTGACTTTGATTAAAAGTGCACAACATCCCACACCAAAGCGAATGTAGGAAATCTAGGTTTGAGATTTTTGTGCTTTAACCCATTCATAATTTTTGCTGATGTGGTAGTTTTTATTATAAGTTAAAATGAATTAAATTGATATGCTCGAGGTAGGGATGTACATTCGGCCAGTTCAGTTCAGTTTAGTTAGAACCGAGGACTTAACTGACTTTTCGGTGCAACTATCTTCCCAACCAAACCAAACTAAATTACAGTTCAAAACCAAATTGATCATAGCCAAATTCAGTTTGGTTTGGTTGATTGGGCCTTGATTCCACATAATGGAAAAGAATTGAACATTCATCCTGATTCCACATATACAATTAATGAATAATTAATACTTAATAAGTGTTATTAATTAAAAGTTAGAATGGCCTCAAAGCCCAATGATTTTAATTAGTACTTTAGTTCTTTAAAATCTTTAGATAGTTTAATTAATTATTATTAATTAAAAATTAGAATAGGCCCAATGTCAATGAGGAATTGTCAAATTGGGCATTATTTACAAACAATTAATAATTAGTCTAGGTTTTAATGTTTTAATGGTTTAGAGTCTTTAGACAATTTAATTAACTATTATTAATTAAAAGTTAGAATATGCCCGCATTGGGAATTGCAGAATTGGCCATTGTGAAAGGTAACAATTATTAAATACTGAGCATTATATATTTACTATACTTAATTAAATACAACCACAAGTTCAATTTTCAGTTTGGTTCGGTTGAAAATCTCAACCAAACCAAATTGAAATCGACAATCAATTAAAGAAACCAAATCAAACCGATACTTGAATTAATCAAAATGAACTAGCTTACTTTGATTCGGTTTGGTTTTCAACTTATCATATGATTTTGAACACCCCTAACTTGAATGAGTTGGGATCTCTTGTCAATAAAGCATTTTCCAACATGATCCGATAGGCACATCTCACCATGAAATTGGGACCCAACATAAAATTGGAACCTGTCATGTAAGATGTGTGTTGTTAGATCATGTTGGAAGGGTGTTGGAGTGTGTATCGTACTTAAATCAAGTTTATATGTCTCACAACCATTCCGATCTCTCCCTTTGTGTGCATGACCAACTTGAGGAGCTTTTATTGGTAAAAAAGTTCCTATGCCACACATTAATATTGACAGTTATGGGTCCAACCTGCCCATTTAAGAGGCCTTTCATGGAGCAGCTTCTAGCCTTACAAGATCCCCACCACGTGAAAAGCATAGAAGCAATCACAGAAAGCCTAAGTATATGTTTGGCATCGATGCTGCAGATACAGCACCATTTTCTTTGCTGATGTGTGGGTTGGAAGCATCATTTTTTGAGAAAATTGTCTTTTTTTCTATTTGAAAAACATTGCTGACAGGTAGGACTTTTACTAAAACAACAGCAACACTTTCTATTTGGTACCAGTGCTCTATGTCTGTTTTTAGCACTGGTGTACCCATTATAGGAAATCAACGTCATTGCCATATCACGCTTTCGTTGGCAGCAACGAGCTGCAATCTGAGAAAACGTCAAATTCAGTATTGCTTCAAGCTACGCCTTCTCGATTTTCAAGGCATGACTTGAAGCACCATTTTTTATGAAAAAATGGATCCAAACAAATAGGCATTTACTGGAGCACCATTTTTTTTATTTGACGCTAATGTGTCACCATTTTTTGGAGCAATTGCATTGATGCGAAATAGACGCTAAATACATTTCCATTGAGCAAAAGAAATATAATAAAAATATTTTTAATAATTTATTCAAAACAACTCAATCAATCAAAATTGAAACCCTCCCAAACCGCTGTAATGATTATTTCCATTGGTTCGGGTCTGATACCATATTTCCATTAGTTCGATTCTGACACCCATAAGTTGTCATTTAAGGGTAGGGATGTAGGTAATAGATCGGGAGTGTATTTCCATTACCACAATGCAGAGACAATGGATAATATTATACATCCTTGAGATTGTTGGTTGAGTGAGATGTTAAAACTCTATTTGCACAAAATTACCCACCCAACCGACCTTGGCAGCTGTTGTTGTTTTATGGCCATCCAGTCCGTCACCTTCAAAGAAGATTATGGTTAGAGTTGCAAGAACTCCAGGAGAGTGTTAGACAACCTTGGCTCATTATAGAAGACATGAATGACATCTGCAAAATGACAGACCATAAATCCCTTAGTAATAACAAGCCTCATCTCTCCAAACATATGTAA